TTTTTATTAGCGTTACAAAAAGCTTTAAACCCGCTCAACTACCGAAAACTCTGAGAGTGTGATCTCTGGAGAGTGAAAGTTTTTTTATTAGCGTGAATGAGAACTTTTCTTCCGTTCAAAAATACCGAATACTCTGTGAGTGTGATCTCTGGAGAATTAAAGTATTAGTGTTAAACGTAAGGGTTCTTTAACCAAGTCTCTGAAGTATAACCTGTACTCTATGGTGAGAGTGGTATGTCTGGTGAGTGAAAGTAATTTATTAGCGTAAATGTGGCTTTAAACTATTCTCGAGTAATATCAAGTACTCTGGAGTGATAATGTGATGTTTGAAGTGTGAATATAATTTAGTAGAGTGATTCCGCTTCCAGGAATATTGAGAATTACAATTAATTAAGGTTTTTAGGTGAGATAAAAAAGGCAATGGCACGAGTGGGATTCGAACCCACGATCTTCGGCTAGATACGCCGCTGCACTTGAGCTATCGTGACCTCGATTCACTCGGACACCAACTTCCCATCTCAACCCCACCTTTTAAATTTTCCCTCCCCCCTTTTTGCCATTTTTCAAATGTCGTGTAATCGAATTGGATTCTCGACGACAAATGAAATGGCCACGGAGAGCTTTAGTGAAGTATACTTCATTTTAAATCATTAAATTCACTAATTTCGTGACCAATTAATATATTAATTTTAATTAAGTTTTTAGTTGAGATAAAAAAGTATCGACGCTCTCTTTGGTTAAAGACATTGAGAGAATAAATCCTATTTTAGTTTGAAAATGTATTCTAGTGGTATTTAGAATACATTTTCAAACTAAAATATGATTTATTCTCTCAATTATTTAACCAAAGAGAGCGTCGAGTCCTTCCACTAGTCGGGACAAAGCTTCTCATTGCTCTACGCTGGAAGATATATTTATTTAAATTACCGTATATTTTAATTAAGTTATATAAATACAACTAATAACCTAAGTTAACGATATTTACATGTTGGAAACCATCAGCACATCGAGGCTTTAAACTCCTTAAACGGTTGAATAATTATGTACAAATAAACCTTGGGTCTAAACGGTGTTGGCAACAGGATGAAAACAAAATCGCATTAATCAATCAACTTGACAGAGCCAAGCCATGATTAAACAAGAAATAACAAAGTCCGCAGTCAAACACAGATATATTATCTCAAAACTAATCGATATTGCCATTTTCCCATCGAATATCTGTAACGTGTAATATATCTGTGCCTAGGTATCTTCATATATCAAAGGATTTTTTCTTTTTTTTTTAATATACATTTATAAAATTGGGATCAAACATTTTTTTTAATCGAATGAAATGTGTTTCCGTGGCTGTTTTGCAATAAGATTTAGCACTGGAGAAGTACACCTGAGAACGTTCTGAAGTTTCGTCAAGATAGGCTCGTGACTCAATTAATAAGTTACGTCATTGAGTGTGTTTTGAATAAATATTCCGTCGTACAATACAACGCATAAATTATAATCATTCACCCCTTTCAAGCCAGATTGTAAACCTGCGTAATTTAATTCACTCTCTTGTTCAAATATAATTTCCTAAACGTAGCTTTTACTGATGGTTTGTTTATTTTTATTATTGACATATGAACCTTTTATAATAAATTTTATACAATAAACGTTGAATACCGTTAAAATGATTTCTTATATTTATTTAGCATAAGAGAAACAAGAAAAATTGATTATCCTTGTGTTTTTACACATTTGCAAACAAGCAAACATTTATCTGTTTACAAAACAGTTTCATATGAAAGGGATAAGAATGTTGGAGGTGGGACAAGCATACTGTGGATATGCACACATGTTCACACAGACCTATAATAGATGTGAAAGACATGACCAGAAATCATCTAGTGATGGGAACCGTTAGAACACCAACAGGGTGAAGATCACTCGTCAACGTAGATTCAGTCTGACCAAGATTGGCGGGAAATGTTGTAAATCACAATTCGCTGATTAAGGGGTTTGAATGATCGGGTAATTTTCATTGAGTATGAATTGTATGGTTCAAGGCAAAGAACGGAGCGGAGGATGTTCGGAGGATTTTAGATTGATGGATTTGAGTTAAGATTAGAACGGTTCCGTATAGGTCATAGTTAGTACGATCATACTGGTCCAGAATGGCAGTGTTTTTTTTTTGTTTTTTTTTTTAATTAATGGAAGTTTAGATTGCTTATCAACTAGTCGATTTAGCAGTCTGAATCTTGATTTATAGTTTTACGTTTGAGCCTAGTATTGGGATTCCACGTCGTTGGTCGAGGTACAGTCCAAGGCATCGTACTTTTTTCCCAATGGGATTAGAAAGATTATTGAAATACGGATGAAGGTTTTTTTTGTTAAGGGTGAAAACAATGTATTTAGATGTAGCTTCATTAACCTTGACTTTCCATTAGGAGAACCAGAATTGGAATGTGTATGTGATATTGTAAATTACGTTAAGCCATAAAGCGACCTTTATCTTTACTAAATCTAACGATTTGTGATAAAATTTAAAAAAAGAAAAGTGAATCCAACAAACTATACAAGATAATTAATATTCAAAATAGCATCCATTAAATGAAGTTAATAAAAAATCTATTATTTCGCGAAATTCACATAATAATATACGAATATGCTATAAAATATCTTCTAATTTACTGAATAAAAGTGCGCACAAACAATAAAATAACTATCGTTCAGGCGGAAGAAAACGAGGATTTATTATGGGTAGAAAATAAAGATAACATAAGACTACTGATTTTTTGAGATATCGTCGTCAAACCTCTGTAGATTTTGTCCACTAAATGATAATCAACTAATTCCAACACAATATTATAATAATATCACACGGAATTCAGATGTATCATCATATAAACATAAGTTTTGTAATTTACTGACTAAAATGAATATAAATATTCAAATAACTTGTTTCAGGTAGAAGAAAACCAGGATTTAGTGAGAGTAGATAATAAAGACGAGCTATAACGAATATTTTTTTGAGAAATGGTCACACTTCATTTGATTTTGCCAACTAAACGATAATCAACTAATTCCAACACATTATAATAATAATTCACATGTAAAATAATATCAATGAAATTTTTAAAAAATCTGAGATAACACGGACTTCAGATGTATCATCACATAAATAGAAATCTTCTAATTTACTGATTAAAATGAACATAAATATTCAAATAAATTTTTTTCAGGTAGAAGAAAAACAGGATTTTGTGAGGATAGATAATAAAGGCAAGTTATAACGAATAATTTTTTGAGAAATTGTCACACTTCATTTGATTTTGCCAAGTAAACGATAATCAACTAATTCCATCACACTATAATGATAATTAACATGTAAAGTAATATCAATGAAATTTTAAAAAATCTAATTTTAACACGGAATTCAGAATATAAGTCTTCTAATTTACTGACTAAAATGAACATAAATATTCAAATAACTTTTTTCAGGTAGGAGAAAACCAGGATTTAGTGAGGGTAGATAATAAAAACAGACTAATGTTTTGAGATATAATTGTCACACTGCTTTTGTTAACTGAATCCAAAGGTCTATAGTAGATAATTCATATGTAAAATAACATCCTATAAAGAATTTTATTGTAAAAAAATCTAACATCCCGAACATATCTCGAAATTCGTATATACCAAAATACAATAAAATGTCTTTTAATTTTTCAATTTTTAAATAACTAGGATAAATAGAAATCCAGATGTTTACAATAAAAAGTCTTCTGATTTACTGACTAATGCACTGCGTTTTATACTACATAAGTGTTCATAAATCATAAAATGATTTTTTCAGTCAGAAGAAAACAAGGATCTCGAGTTGATAAAAAATAAAGACGACCTAAAACGAGTATTTTTCTGACAAATTGTCATTACAGTGTTTTTTATTTTGTCAACCAAATCCATCAAACTATAGTAGATAATTAATATGGAAAATAACATCCAGTAAAGAATGTTAGTAACAAATCAAAGAAACCACGAATTCAGATATATCAACATACAATAAATAATACGTCTTTTAATTTATTATATAAAATCCTAAAAACCTGTTTATCTATCTATCAGATAGAAAAAAACGTTGGTTTCGAGTACACAGAAAATAATGTAAAATTCACATAATCAATGTACGTAATTACACAAATAACTTTTATTTGGATAGAAGAAAACCAGGATTTCATGTAGACTGAAAATGAAGGCACCCTAAACGAGTAATCTTTTGAAAAAATTTCGTCAATGTGTTTTTTATTTTATCTACTAAATCCGACAGATTATATTGGATAATCAGTATTTAAAATAACAGCCAGTAAATAAAGCCTATTAAAAATATCTAGGAAAAATGGAAACTCAGATTTATCAACATACGATAAACTGTCTTCTGCTTTACTGGTTAAACTTTATCCAAATAAAAAATCTACTTTTGTTCAGGTAGACTATACAAGACCGAGGATATCATTATAGGTAGAAAATATCCTAAAACGAATAATTTTTTGACAAATTGCCATATATCAATATTTCAATGTGTGGTGCACATTGAAGCCACTAAGTCATTATATTTTTGTAATTATTAATCCATGATATTGCAGAAGAGACTAGATAGATTTCTTATGTCTAATTCGATCTTTATAAACTACGTTGCAGTATTTGCCAGTATATTAAATTTAACGTCATTATTCTTATGCCACATTGTTTAAAAAGAATATGTCTATTTTTTAAACGGACTTGAAAAATTGTTGAATATTTGGTGTTTTTAAATTTTATTCTTAAATAACGCGTGAGTTGTTCCATGTTCAGGATTTGGGGGGTCGGAAGTAAGTACAGTATACTCAACAAGTTGTTGCATCGTCAGTAAGTTTTTAATTTTTTTTTATGTGTTAAAAACAAAGAAAAATACAGATTTTTTTAGTAAACGAATCAGGAGAAGGCGGAGAAGTACGTAAGTTTTATTAGGAAAGGTTAAAGTTACATACTTTCTCAGATGTCGGTCGATCAACAGGTGCAGTTGCTCGGCAAGGGACAAGATAGGTACTCTGGGCCTCTTGCAAACGTGGGGGAGGCTTTGCCCCCCAAAGCATGCGCGGGTCCCCCTCGGCCCCCACTGCCACATTTTCTCCTCTTCCTCCCAAATCGATCTATCGAAACCCCCCCTGGCAATAATTGTTACTATTCATCCCTCTGGCATCCACTAATGATGACTGTGTGCCATTCCGTGTCGAGGCCTGGATTTTTTCACGTTTTCACTTTGAGGGCTGGCCGGGCGGGGATCCGTGCGGGGGCGGAGGGTTTCGACCCCTGGGCAATCTGGAATTTTAATTCACCCCGCCTTCCAAGGGTTTACCACTTTTTACACCTCACACGCAATGCAAACAATTGCATATAGAATCAATTTATGGCTTTTTATTATTTACCTTTTTTATTGAAATCGTTGGTAAATTATCATGTATTTTTATTTAGCACAAAGTCAAGTTTTTATCTTAAAAACTGTATAACAATAATAATTCCACCGTGCTCATTACCTAATGCCACAATTATTTTTTATTTTATTTATTTTAGATCCGGGCAGAGCCCATTCAATACTTATAAAAAAAAGTAAAACAATAGTAAAAGTATACACAGATTGAAATTAAATTATACATAAGTTTTCTTAACAATATCACCATATTAGTCTAAAAATATTGAAAAAACTAATCGAATTACAATGGCAAATATATTATTAGTGATAATGAGATCAGGTTAAACTTAGCATTAAAACTAAATTAAATGTAATATAGTAGGTACTAAAAATATGTTAAATTTAGAAAACAAAAAAATACACACACACACATAAAAATATAACGGAGAATAATATTGCTCTTGGGCCAAAGCCCGTGCAGGTGGCCCTTATGCAAAGGAAGGTAGCTCCATGTGTCCCACATAATAGAGGCGTGTCATGCCTTGGCTCCAAACAGAGAGCGTGTAGCATGCCGCTGGATTTGAGAATGGTTCTCGGACACGGTAGCGAGTTCCAGGGTCCCCTGTTCCGCCTTTTGTGGGAAATAGAAGTTAAGTTATGTGTTTTATATTTCTGTGTCTTGTATGAATGAACGTATTTATCGGTGTGAATGGGGAGGGGCTGATGGCGAAGTAGCTTCTCCATCGCCTCTCAGGCTGTGTGTATGACTTGGTCTGATGGCGTTAATTTTGAAAAATACCCCATCGACCCCAATTTAGATTAGTTTATTATAGGGAACAGGTAGATGGAGAATTATCGAGTGCTCCATCTACCAAACAGAACGAGTTGATCAATGTATGTTGGTGTGATTGTGTATAGAGTATGTAGCGGTATTTTGTTAGTGCTTCGGGGCTGAAATGGCCAAGCTGTCGGATACCCCTATTCAAATATTAATAATATTGCTTAAGAGGAAATACTAAAAAATAATTAAAAATACAAATAAAGAAAAGAGTTGCTGGCGATTAATTTTGTAAAAATTTATCGGAAAATAGTCTATTCATATAGGAGATTGAGCAGTTGAAAAAATCTATTTGTTAATTATTGGCACCTTTCAATATTCTGTTAATTCCAGTGAACTTGAGGAAATCGGCTTTTAGGAAAGTAATGTGGGAGGTTTGGCAAGATCTAGTGGTATAATTTGGGACATGGAAGGAAATAGAAAGAAGGAGGTCTGGACAGTCGATGATACTATGGAGGATTCCATGGAGGAAAATAAGATTTGTTTGTTCTCTACGGGATGAAAATAATCTAATTTGAAAAAGTTGCCTAAGATGAGAGGAAGATGAAGTAGAGGGAGATAGAGTAGATAGGTCGATGTGGGCTTATAGCCTAATATCCTTAGGAATTTATTCTGAACCTTTTCTATTTGATTAATATTAGGTTATCGAAGGCTAGGCCTTATTAAACAAAAGAGAAACACCTTCTCTGATGATCAGGGGAGAATTCTTGCAAATTTGAAATAGCTTTCCCAATTATAAAGTTATTTATACCGATGTGTCCAAAAATGAAATTGGTTTAGGGTCTGGGATATTTGCTGATGAGTACATTTGTGAGTATTGACCTTTGTGGCACACCTGCAAGCACATCTTCCATCCCATAAGTCTCCGTACCCTGGTTTACTGCGAAAAATATCCCCTTAAGTATGATTGTATACTCAGTTAACAAAGCTGGGGTAAAAATAATTTTAATTTGTATTATAATCCTTCACGCGCTACTTTGTCGAAGGCCTGAGAAACATCTTGAAACACTGTAGCCGCGCACTGTTTCTGCTCGAGACATGAAGTAATGAAATCTGTAACTCTGTGAAGTTGATGAGTGGTGGAATGATAGATTCGAAAAAAATTGATGGTGTGGTAAAAATGCTATTTGAAGTAGCAATAGAGATAATTCTTTTATAAATTAATTTTTCGAATAATTTAGAAGGAACGGGTAACAAACTAATAGGACGATAAGATGATGGGGAGCTTAAATTACGCTAGCCATCCCTAATTTAAATTTAAAAATAAAAACATAAATATAAGTTCCTAACTAAAAGTTGGTTTCTTCAATTAAAATTTTTCTGTAACTATATGTTTGCATGCACGTAACTGACTAAATTTTCCCAGTTGCTACTATTCAAATCATTAATAAATTGTTCCCCCTGAGTAATTAAGTTGCAATAATTCACCCCTAAACTTAAATATTGTAGCCATAAAATAACTTTTATTTTTATTATTCATATAATTATGTCCGCCGAGTTGAACATTTAATATTTTATACACAACGGGAAATTTGGCTGACTACTAGCATTTAAAATTTGCCATAAAACTTTGTTTAACTTTTTCTAGTAGATTCACTAGTTTTCGTGATCCGCTTGACCAATTAATATCTTTCAATTAATTAAGGTTTTTAGTTGAGATAAATAAGTCAGTGTCACGAGCAGGATTCAAACCCACGATCTTCGGCTAGATGCTCTACCAATTGAGCTATCTGACCTCGATCCACTCGGAAACTAACTTCCTATGTCAACCCTACCTTTTCAATTTTCCCTCCTTTTTGCCTTTTTTTTCTAGTAGTTAGTAGTAGTCAGAAACGTTCGGGAATTTTTCCCTCTTCAATTGTATGTCAGGCTTATAAGCAAGACGAGGTATTGAAGAACTGTCAAAAGTTACCTTTTTTGGCTTAATCATAATCAAATTTATCCAATTTCCAATTAATAATAATTTTGGGTCAATTCATCAGCAGTTGAACCTGCTTCGTTATTCTTTGATACTTAGGTTTTGTAGTTCGGACTTTTTTTATTTTTTAGTCACTCTATCCTCATTTTCTTGGTAGGACCGAAGAGTTCGGGAATTTTTCCCACTTCAAGTCAGGGTTATAAGCGGGAAGTAACTGATTTAGGGTCAGTTCCTCAGCTGGTACTTTTTCAATAATACTTCCTGAAGTTTGCTCGTTTTCTATATATATCCTATATACATTTCTTCAATATAAGTCTTAAAACAACTTTTTGTATGTTTATCTACGCAAGACTCCAGAACAGTTCATTCACAACTTTTTGAAATTATTTCGTCCATTTCTAAAACTTGTTATATCATAAGAGCAGTTTTATTTCATGCAGAAAGCATTGCAGTTTAATTTAAAAAATATTGAATACACGTTTTTTTCTAAAAGGATGGTTGTATTGAATGAATGAATTGAATGAAACATGGTAGCACTTGTAATAAAAAAATTAAAATGTTGTATTCGTACATTCCTATACAGAACAACTTTACTTGAATTCTCTAATGGGTACTAAAACCGAACAATTATCTATATTTAGAAAGAATAGGGCAAACCGCTACAAAATTCAAAATGACCTCCCTTGCTTTTAAGTCACAAAGACGACATTCTTCTCGTTTAGAAGCTTGGTACGGTTTATAGTTCAAGTTAAGCAACTCGCCCATTAACTTCATCAACCATCTGATGAACCGAGGATCAAAATTTTGCTTGTTTTTTCCAGTCCGAGCTGCACACTTTACATTCGGAATTAGTTCCCTGTATAGTGTGTAATGTTGGGACATCATGGCTCTTGTCATAAACTCTTCTCTTAGGGATTCTGTAACCGACATAATTAAGGATTGGAGGTTGGTTTTAAATGCACGAGTGTCAAAAATCAAAATACGGTACAAGGATAGCCTTGGAATCATATGTTTACGAGGTAGTGCCTTCCATTCAAATGCCCATAATAGCCCTTTTTTCCACATTTCACACGCCATGGTCTTTTATCTGTGCGATAGTAAACCTATAACTCCAGCTCATCTAGCGTCATTATATAAGTTGGAAAGAAACATTGGAAGGTAAAATAATTTGCAAACAAAAAAAACATTGAACCTTTTCCACCTCTAGGAAATATGTAAATCCCCAAACCTGGGAAGCGTAGAAGAGAATCGATCGAGAAACTGAGTTAAACATTTGTAATTTAGCACTTAAAGGAACTTACGAGTGTGATAGCTCCACTCCAGATGGTACTTAATGCAAACTTTGCAATTTTTGCTTTTTCAACTAAATCTTTTTTTGAAGGACAACTTAGAGGTTTGACAAAATGATTATCAAACAGGTGTATTTCAACTTGGAAATTCGTCGTGAAACAATCTCGTCTGATGTGATACAGATGAAAAAATTGTGTCTGAACGTACGAAACGTAGAAATGAAACGTTGTTCAGCTCGGGTAAAAAGGAAAACGTGGAACTTTTTGGTGAATGGTCTTCATTGTTCTATTAAATAAAAACTGGAAGGAGTTAAAAAGCTCATTAAAACAGTGTGATGTCGGAAGAATTATAAGAATTTAATTTTTTTAATGTGAGGAAGAAAACGGATTTTTTTTTACTTTAAATTCAAATCTGCTAAAACTTGATGACTAGATTCAAATCAAGGAAGTTAAAGGGGGTAAACCGAAATATTCTACCTCTAGCCTAAAATTTCTGCCTAAGGACAATCCGACGACAAGCACCTGTAGCGTTCACTTGTTGCTGTATCGCTCCCAATTGCCCTATCTTCACGCATCGGCTGAAATTGGCCCATTTCCC